TATATTCACCTATAGGCGCGAATCCGAGAAAGGCGGCGGTCCCGCCATGGGATGAAAGTCGGACGGCGGCGATTCCGTTATTACGTATGGTTTTCAAGGAAAATATAACCGACGAGCTCCGCCATTGGTGGAATTGACCAAGTGGCCTCGGCTTCGGATCATAAAGGCGATTGTCGAAGGCAAAATTTGGAACTGTCGAAACTGTTTGGCAAGGACGAGGGCCCAAGAAGTCTTTGGACCCCGTCCGATTCTCCCGCTGAGACAACGACGACTCACCGTTGTCTCAGCGGGGCTCGAAACATTCCTCCTTTTCCCCTTCGTCCTCCCTGCTCGTCGTATCCTTTGCTGCTTCCTTCGATCCTAGGGACTTAAAAATAGAACGAGTGCAAGGATATCGTGACCAATTAGGAAGCGAACGGTGAATATACAAGGTGTTCCTCGCCAAGTACGACTCTTTCAATGGGTTCTATGATGACTTGATATTTAAACATATGAACGCGTTCCTTTCCCTGAACGTTCAAAGATGTTCTCCGTGGATTGCCGTAAGCCTTACTCGTGTACCTTCAATGCCGTTCAGGGATAGTTCGTGACGTAAGTTTAAAGATCGAGCTTTACGAAGCGCCCTGCGAACAACACTCCGGCTCTGCGCGTGATGTAAAACTGCTCGTTGCAAGGTTTTAACGATTTTACGTTAGCGATTTCGTAAACAGCTTGTAAATGAGTCCGCTAGCGTTTATAAATAAATATGCGTTACCTGTACCGTAGTATATATCGCATGCGTATGCATACATTTCATGCATACATTTCAAGAAAATACGTATGGTTTCCAAGTTACATCAATTTCAGTAAATATTAATCGACACTTGAAATATTTAGCGCAAATATCAAAATATTGTCGTGTATCGGGAAACGGCATAATATGGGGGAGGGAACAACTATTATATTCGATCGAGCGATTCGCTCGCTTTTCCATAAAATAATGAAAAAAAAAAAAATCTATTTTCGCATAGAAAAAGAAGTAAAGATGGATTTGTTTCGTTGTAATCGCACAAAATTTCTGAACGAAACGAAAAAAACATATTGAGAATCGAAAAAATGTCAAGTGTCAAATACGAGTGCCAAATCGTGAATATAACGAGACCCGTTATTACATCGGCGATCTGCTTTCTCTCAGTCGAAGAGATCATCCGCTACTTTACTCCGTTTGTTCCGTACTTCACTAGTTTGAAGCTTGGTTCTAGCGACCGTCTGTTTGTATCGTCAAGTATCGGCATAACCGTTACGCTTCGTTGTACCTAATAATCGCGCCATTACGCTTCGGAACGCCGTTGCATCGCGCCGTTGCTCGTAACGTTTGCCTTTCCGAAAACTCGAACGCGCAACTTGCCGAGTCGTTCTACTCGGTAGAACCATCTCGAAGGTAATTTGAAAGATTCTTTGCCATTGATTTTTAAAATATCTGTGTGCCTCGTGTCGCGGTAATTAATCCGGAAGAGATAAAAATGACGTACGCGATAAGCGGGCGCGCATCGATCATGCCCTCACTTTCAATTTCCTCCCTTGAGAGTTTCCTCTTGCGAGAGAGAAAGAGAGAGAGAGAGAGAGAGAGAGAGAAGAGAGAGAGAGAGAGAGAGAAGAAAAAAAAAAATCGTCGAGTTACGTTATAAAATCTCGCGCTCGTCGTATAAAAAAGAAGAAAGAAAAAAAAGGTTTGCGCGTGCGAACCGATAAGTTTATGTACGCGATAAAAATGTCTCTCGCTCGCGAGGAATCTCACCGATTAAGCCTCGAATAGTCGGTTGTACGAAAGCAATGCGTTTGATTCGCCACGTAACGCGCACTGCACGTAGATAGGTAACGCCCAACGCATTTTCAATATTAACGCACCTTCTTCTACCTCGTCGACATTCAATGCGCCGATGCATCGGGTACTGTCTCGTGATACTATCGGCGGGAGAAATTTGAATCGAGTCTCGGAAGCGGAACGCTCGATGCTCAGATAAGCTTTTGCCGAGCATAATTCCCAAGAAAAGTCAAATCCGAAGATCTTCCCAGGCAAAAAGTGTGCGCACCGCAGCTTGTGAGACACTCTGTATATAGACACGGAGAACGTCAAGTTGCAGAAATCTACCGTAGCAGAGAGACAGGCTCTCTCGGCTAAGACGGTTACAATGCGAGGATCCGTGAATCTACTTTCGAGCGAACGGCTCCGTTCGTTCGTTCGTTCGTTCGTTCGTTCGTTCGTTCGTTCGTTCGTTCGCTCGCTCGTTCGTTCGTTCGTTCGTTCGTTCGTTTTCGTTCATTCGTCCGTTTGTGTTCGTTCGTTCGTCTCGTTCGTTCGTCTCGTTTGTTCGTTCGTTCGTTCGTTCGTTCGTTCGTTCGTTCGTTCGTTCGTTCGTTCGTTCGTTCGTTCGTTCGTTCGTTCGTCGTCGTTACTTTTTTTTTTTTTTTTTCTCTTCTCTTCTCTTTCCGTGTTCTGCTCTTTGTGTCTCGTCGTGTCGTCTCGTTCGTCTTCGTTCTCGTTTGTCTTCGTTCGTTGTTTCCGTTCGGTTACCGTTTTTGGTAACTCCTTTTCGGTTTCGTCCCGTTTTCGTTCGTTTTACCGTTCGTCTCGTTCGTTCATTCGTTCGTTTAGTTCGTTCGTTCGTTCGTTCGTTCGTTCGTTCGTTCGTTCGTTCGTTCGTTCGTTCGTTCGTTCGTTCGTTCGTTCGTTCGTTCGTTCGTTCGTTCGCTCGTTCGTTCGTTCGTTCGCATCACGCACATTCGCAAGAATTTTGCCTCGTTACGCACACGCACGCGACATAACATTCGTGCGACTTTAACGGCGATGGGCATAAGGAGGGCAGTAACAGAAATGGGAACCTATAGCAAGCGGGAATTTTCTCGGATACCGTAAATACATTGCAGCGCAATAAAAATAGAATACGGGATACTCCGTATTGATGATATACCACATTGATATTTTAATCGTGACTGACCGCGCGACTTTCTTTCCCCACGTGGAGTTCACGGATTTTTTCCATTCTCCCCTTCATTTTCCACACATCCGTGCCTTATCACGATCGATGATACCTGCAAATTTTCCGCTCGGACAACATTACAGTTTCGTACCGTGCATAAATTGCCACGCTGTCGTAATTACACAGCGTTTAGTATAATATCTCTCAGAATTAATAATTATCATCTCATTTCTCATAAACGATTTCATTTAAACGCTTCAAATCTGTAACAAAATAATCAATTTCACCTGATGCGTTCTCGGTACGTGAAACGTTCAACAAATATCAGTCGCTCAAAGGATTGTTTACACAAATTCCAAATTTTGCATCGCGCATCGAATCTTCCATCGTATCTATCGGACGACCGTGGAAACCATGTCTCCCCTCCCGTTCCCCCCTTCCTCGAACCGTTGGATTACCACACGGTTGTCTGGAATACGAACCTCGCGCGACACGTCGACCGTCGGCCGGATCTTCCCGTGGACGCGCGAAAAAAAGGTACAGGCGGCTGGGGAGAGGAACGGAGGAAGAGAGGAGATGGCGGAGGCGCAAGCCGTCCGAAGGTGGAGGAGTATGGTGGAGAGGAAGCGAGGGAGAGAAGAGAGACGCAACGGCGCGCGTGGACGGATGGTTCGAGGGGATATGGGGGTTTCCCGAGTCGAGTCGAACGCGCGAGCCCACGCGGGCGGCCTTGCACGTCGCCTTGCTTGTATTGATCAGCGGGCTTGACAGCCCCGTAGCATACGGCGGGCGCCTTTCGCCTCTCTCTATCTCCGCGCGCGCTGTGTGTGTGTGTGTGTGTGTGTGTGTGTCCTCTCTCTCCCTCTCCTCTCATTCACTCACATCGGAACCGTCGGTGCGCGAATATTTTGTTTCGCCGTAACATAGTAGTGATACATATACACGCGCGCGCGCTCGGGCGCGCACCCGTGTCCACATAACCGCACCGCACCGCGCCGCGCCGCGCCGCGCCGCGCCGCACCGGTGTGTAATAGACGCCACTACGCGCGCGGCGTCTCTACTTTCCGACGGTGTGCGATGTGCCTGTGCCGCTCGTCCTCTCCGCGGAAGGCGCGGAGCGTATCGACCGATCGTTACGCCTCCACGAGACTCGGCCGCCGCGTACCACGCACTCTCGAGAAAGAGATGACGCTTCTCTCCTGCCGCGAGAAAACGGCGAGGTAGCCGCGTGGCGCGAACGAAATCGGAGAGAATCGCCGAGAGAATCCTCGTCTCTCCTAACGTGGATCTTGAAGATTCCACGCGGGATTTCGCGCAGATAGATTTAATGACGCTGAAATTTTCAAACCACGCTGTTCCCCCCCTCCCCTCCACCACTCTTTAGGAGACGCGGGAATACGTCGCGAGAGATATCTCACGTTGTTCGACGGTGAATCCTGAGCCAGTCACTAACTAAGCGCCATCATCTTTTGGAAGACGCGATGCCCCCGATCTTTGGGAAAATTCCTATCGATCTGCCGCCGCATTTCGATAGAAACTTGCCATCCGCTGCTTCCTCGAAAATACATGACCGGGTCAATGCAGAGTGCGCTGACATCTCCAAAGAAATCGATATGTACACGCTTATTAGAATTATGCCTTTTGAAAAAAAAAGCAGGCACTTTAAAGCTGACTTTCAAAATTAATAATCTCTGACCATCGATGTATTGTATTAAGAAAACTCTAATTCAAAAAGAATTGCATGACTACGTTTTAAAGTAATAAACTACCGCGTCTTAAGGTTAGATTCCGCGAAGGAAGCAGTTATTTGATCTCTTGTGAAGGAATATGTGCGATGCAATACGTCGATTGTGCACGCGACGATATCAGTTTTACTTTATCGAAATTGTACTCTCTTGACGTGACCAACTTCGTGGGGATACCTTTAACGTAACCTCGCGCGATCGTAAGATCCCCAAAGGCGCCAAGATCTTATTACCTGCCTGCGCGGTGGTTGTATACACATTTGAATCGTTCTGATTATGTCAGCTGGTTCTTTGACGTAAGGAGACGCCCGGCGCCGATTGGACGACGGGCGCGCGCCCACTACCGCGTCTCTGTGCGCGTGCGCCGCTTTCGTGGCTCCCCTCAAAGTGGCCAGAGCCCTCAAATGCATGGACAATGGCGTCACACGATATTTACCATCATCCTTCGGAATGCCTACTGGTTAAGCGCGAAGGCATCATTCGCAATGTTTGCATACTTCTACGCCACAGCTAATACATATACGTACACGCAAATAATTTTCGGTAAAACAAGATGACTCAGAAATTTTTACTCAGCGGTAATTAGTTGTGCGAAAGATTTCTCTGATAGCGATAAATAATAATGATGAGACGCTCTTTTCGACCCTTTTGTCGTTCCTTCGCAGATATTTGTCAGTGAAACTTATCTTGAATGATCTACAATATACATTAAAATACAGATAATTTGCAGTTTTTTATCCACTTGGCCGCTCGATATGCAGACCTCCGTATCTCACTTCATTTTGATTCATTATAATTTTAATTTATTATACAAATTTACTTGCAGCTATATTATTAATTCATACTAAAGAGGATTCGATATAGGATTGAAACGTATACATTTTGTTTAAAATATGTATTTATACTTTTTATACCCTGTACTGGCTCCTACAGATATTATTTTTACTTTTTGATTAAAACGCAAAATATAATTCCACTATTAGTTTTACGTATCGCAAGGAATAATTTCAAAACACTTCTATACATATCAAATACATATTAAATCACATGCATATATATAAAATTCAGCGAATAACAATAAATAGAACTAAATAATAAATCTAGAACTACAGATTTTTCTAATCGTAAATAAAGAACGAATGATCAGAATGTACAGAATTTTTTTTCTCAAGTCTGACGCACAGGTGAGGATCGTCTTAAATGGAGTTAAGCGCGCGGTTATTTATACGCGCGCATCGCTCGCTCCATTGTCAATCGGACTTACCAGAGAGTAGAGCCCGCCCGCGCGCGCGCGCAGTATGCACACTCCGATACGAGACGGCGTGAAGTGCGCCGCGCACGCGTTCGGCGCGATCGACTCCCGTGACGCGCGCGTCGATGACTCGCCGTTGACCGCGCGCGACGGGACACCCTAATCGCGAGGGACGGCGGCGCGGCGCGGCGCAGCGCGGCGCGATACGGTCGGGAAGAGCGCGCGGGGATCAGGTGCAATAAAGATATCGAATTCGGGATGAATGGACTCCCGTTAATGGAGATAGGACATTTTCCGTCAATGCAATGGATACGGGCGAGTCGCGCGCGAGAGATTTCGGCGGCTTTGACGTTGACCTTACGCGACGCCGATCGATATCGCGCGCATGTTATATTTTTGCTCTAAAAAAAAATCTCTGTATTTGCCGAGATAGAGTTATGCTTCCCTCCCCCCTCCCCTCGCGGGATTTTTTTTTTTAAATAAGAAATGGAAAGGAGCGGAAAGCTTTCTGATATCACATTACGTAGCTTGATAATGTTATCAATAATTTTATGTTTTGATTCGCTTTGAACTCAAAACAAACTATGGATAGAATAACATATGTAGCTACTATGTTTATATGCGCATTTGTGTATGTGTGGTGCGTGTGCGAGTGCGCGCGCGCCAACGAAAGAAACAGACCTTTTGGAAGAGACCGAGACAGTTTTTTAACAGAGACAATTTTTCTTAGAAAAAAAGGTGCAAGAAGAACTGAATTCTGAGATATAAATACAAGGTCGGGGAGAAAGTGTTTGCGCGGTCGCGGACACCTTTGCAAGATAGAAATTTCTAAATTCCGGAAAGCTTGTTCGATATTAGAAAGTACGCGTGATCAAGTAAGCTCTTAGATAATTATCAAATATCTATGACAAATGGGGTTTTTCGTTCAAAGCATACGAATTATCGCCTGTCAATGACTAATTAATTTTCTCTCGAATATGTGTCGTAATCTCGTAAAATATATTTCTTGCAGAGATGTGTTTTCCCTAGTTTTTTTACTACGATGATTTATCAATTAAGATCGAATGATTTCGCGAAAGAGTGTCTCAAAATATTTCGGATTTTCTTATTTTGACTCGATGAAAATGATGACTGATGGCTCGAAATAAATAAATCTGTTTGTCGTTACAGTGGCGGGTTGCGCCTAAACTTTCTATCTCGCTTTC